TTTTTTTTTTTTTTTTTTTTTGTGGTCTTTCTAAAAGTCCCGTTCGGGGGAAGGGGATGTGGCCGGGAAGGATGAGAGACTCCGGTCTTCTGCTCTGCCTTTGGAGCGCTTACTGTTGCTTTGCCGCGGGAGGTCCCGCAACCCTTGATCCAGAGGGTCGGCTGCAAGGTAACGTGTCCTTGTTTTTATTAACACCCCACAACTTCTTTTCTGTGCCAGTTCCCCTCTGTCTTGCCCACCCTTCTTCCTCGATCCTTCCTTCTTCCTTACCCCCTGCGCTGTCCATTTGGTCCTCCTAATCAGCCTTGGAGATCACTTGTTCCTCGGCACTTCCGACGAGGACATCCCCAGCCAGGCATCCAAGAGGCCGCAGGCTCGCCCGCGCTCGCTCTCGCCCCACCCCCTTGTCGTTATACGGTTCTCCTCACGGTGCTGTCCAGTCAGCAGAGTTGGCGGCCAGCAGCTGTTTAACCTTGTCCTCCTCTTTGAACCTGGGGTTCTCGAGGCAAGAAGGTTGTTAGAGCTCTATCACCTGGTGCCCTTCCTTTTAATCTCGGTGCAGGTGTCTTGAAAGTTAAGGTATCAGGGTAGCTGGCTCTGGTTTGAGTAGTGCTTGCCGGGAGTATTAGGTGAGTAATTCGTGCAGAGAAGCTGCTGGGCTTATTCCCCAAGTCTTTCCAGCCCTTGCTCTTCCTCTTCCACCTCTCCGTCCTCCTCCTCCTTCCAGCTGCCGGCTTTTCTTCTGAGTTCTGCGTGGCAGTCTTTTCTGCTGGAGGAACCTGCCCCGAGGGGCGAGGGTAGGGTCACCCAGCGGGAGTACCAAGTCAATTAGTTAAGCAGAGGAGAGCGGGGAACCTCTGAACCACACACTATTATTTCGTCTTCTACTATTCTGCTGAGGCTGGGTCAAATGATGTTGGTCCATGTTGCTTATGTGCATGCAGGAGGTTAATTGGAATGAATGGAAAAAACTTGTTTTATTCAACATGTTCCCAACTCTAGTGCAGTCGAAGCAGGGTAGGTTGCATCTCTAGTTCCTCTCCTGTAAAGTGCTAACATTCCTTCCAACTTCTATGTTCTGCGATTCTGAGTATCTGGGGGCCATTTCATTCATTCAAAACAGTATGTATTTGCCAGGCATGCTTCTCGGAGTGAGGGATAGAGCAGTGAACAAAATGGGTGTAAACCCCTACCCCCATGGATCTTACATTTCAGTGGTGGGAAAACAGCTAGTCAACTAATTAAAATATATAAATAGTGCTCAGTGTTATGGAAAAAAATTAAGCAGAGGAGGAAAGTACAGAGGGCTGGTGGGAGAAGGTGGTGCAGTGTTAGCCTGGGACCAGGCTTCCATCCCTGAGGAGCTGACCCCTGAGCAAGGAGCTGAGGGAGGTAAGAGAATGAGCCTGAGAACATCCGGATGAAGGATGATCATGAAGTTCCAGAGGCTGAAGTGACTCAGGCTGGACGTAGTAGAAATGAGCTAGAGAACTGTGGTGTCAGAGAGAGCCAGCTGCTAAGGTGAACCGTTTATGTCAGTTTGTGAGTTTATCCACAAGTCGGTGCCAGGAAGCCAGCAGACTCCCTTTCCTTTCTTCCTGGACTTTGCACCTGGTCTCTGTGAGTGGCTATCTGGGTGGAAATTGGGAGATGTTGAATGAGTTATGTCTGTGCTTCAAATTTCTGTCAGTTGGGGCTTTTGTTCATTACTTTAATGACAAAGTTCTGCTCGTGCATATTTAGTCGCATTTTCTGGAACCTTACCATTTTTACATCTGGTGCATAGCTGTCCTCCCCCTTGTCCGCTTCACCACCAACGTGTCCACCACTCTGGTCTCTCTTTCCATGACTCCATTTGTTTTTTAACTCTGGGATAAATGAAGCTCCTGGGATGGTCATTTGGTACCTTTTCACTTGATTTCTGGGTGACCGGACAGTTTGATTTTCTAATTTCCTAGCCTGTTATCAAGGGAGGGTATCCTGGATGGTTGGAAGAATGCTAGATGAGGCTCATTTAGGACCTTCTGAAATAGTGTGGTGATGACAGTACCTAGTGTTAAAAGGCCATAGGGACCATCAGTGACATGGGCTGTGTTTTGTAGTAGGGCCATCTCCTAGACGGCACTGTGTGTGTGCAGTGGAGCTGAAAAGAGAGGTTTTGCTGCTCTTATGAGCTTCTCCATGGCTTCAATAACTTATTTAATTTATTCAACAAACTAGAAGAATGTCTGGCACATGTCTGGTACTGCAAGGAGCACTGAGCATGCATGAGGTCTTTGGAGCAAGTGTTGAAATCGAGATGAGAGCATTAGGGAAGCCCATTGCGTAAGAGGTCAACAGTTCCTTACCTCCAATTCCAAAATCCAAAATCTTTGAAAATTGAAAAATTTGTTTGGTAACTTGTTTGGCAGCAAGAACTGGCCTTACCTGACCTGAACTCTCACTCATTTGGCAGCAAAAACTGACCTGAACCGACAAGAGGATATTTAGAATCTTTTTTTTTTTCCCCCTCGAGTGTGAGTAGTTATGTATTTCCCTGCAGAAATATTATTGGTGTGTCTGATGAATGGGAATGCCCCAGACCCTGCTGGGGGTGTTATATAATAATATATTATATATATATATACATATATATATATATATATGTATATATATACATACCTATATATATATATATATATATATATACATACATACATATATGCCATAATACCTTTCTAAAATCAGATAATTTCTGAATTCTGAAACTCAACTGGTCCCAAGCATTTCAGGAAAAGAATTAAGGACCCATACTCTGAAACTAGTAACTTGAGGGAAGGAAAAAGAACTCGTTTGGATGGGGAAGAAGAAAGAAAAGCAAGGGAGACTTATTTCAGATTCACAGTAATTGATCCTAGCGACTAACTAATACTCAAATATTGGTGAGATGTCCCTTTTACAACATCTTCGCAACTCTTCTGGGAGGTGAGGAGGAAACATTCAGCAGATGTAAAAACTGAAACCCAGTGGGGTTAAGTAATTTGCTCAAGAGTGAATTAGAACTAGACCCTAGATCTCTCACCACCCAGGCCTTCTAGTTATACCCTTGCTCTGTTATTTCTCCCCAGATGAGCTCAACAAATCCCGGGTTGTACCGGCTGCTGCCAAACCCCCTGTGAGATTTAACCTCCGCACCTCTGAGGACCCAGAGCATGAAGGATGCTACCTCTCCTTTGGCCACAACCAGCCCTTAGAAGACTGTGGCTTCAATATGACAGCCAAAACCTTTTTCATCATTCATGGATGGACGGTGAGCCTCTGGGGGAGGGAGCTCTACAGCTTTCCGGGAGATTTGGTTTCCTTTGTTTTGGTCAATTAGAAAGAATACTGGTGCTTCCAGATTCCACTCTGTCTCCCCCTCTTTTCTTGTGGGCTGCTTGTATTTCAGACAGCTGTGAAGAATGTAATGGGCACTTTGCTAAGGGGGCAATCTGGACTCCAGCAGGGCGGTATTTAACACTGGCACACAGCGGGCTTTCAGAAAGTGGCTCTCCTGAGGGCAGCAGCCCAGCTCCACTGGCTCTTAAGGGGCCCTCTAATTATGCTTAATTACATTGGTCAACCACTGCGTCGCGGGGGCCATCCCTCCGTAAGAGCTGAGCTGAACTGAAGCAACTTGACTGGCTCGGAGAGTCTGTGAGGAGGCAGCTGGCCTGGCTGGCTGGCCCTGGTTGGCATGGTGCCCTCCTGTTTGCATAGAGATAGCTCCGTTTAAAGGCACTGGAGTCTTTATATGACCTAGCTGAGCAATTCACATTGAAAAGCCCATGACGAACTTCAACAAAAAAGGGCTTTAACACTCAGCCTCAGAAGCTTTTGACCAGCGAGGGATTTATTCATTCATCTACTGGCAGTCTGTAGGAAAATGGCACTATTAAGTGAGCAGGTTTCTGCCTGGGCTAATTGGGAGGGGACATTCCTCCTCTTAATGATGAGAAATTCATATCCGTTACATGCTTTCTGGGTCTTTAGGTCTATCACCAACTGTTGGGGTCAGGCCTGGTGGGGGTGGGTGGTATGTAGGCACCTACCTACCTAATGTAATTGAAGGGGTGATTAAGGGCCTGCCATCCATCCTCAACCCACAGCCTATGATTAGAATTATGCATTTGAACCTTTATAAGGCCCCCTGTCAAAATGCAAATACAAACTGCCTGCAACTTACAAATGGGTTGCATTCCAGAAAGTTCTTTTATAATCTGTTTGGAACTTGGAACAGCAGTTTCCCATAGAAGTAAGATCGCAAATGGCGTTAGGGTTCCCAGGCCAGGCACAGAAAATCTGTTTATCTAATAATGTACTTGTGGATAGGTTTACAACTGGACCTAGTCACCATTTACACTTTGTTTCTGTGGGAAGGTGTGTTCTGAGCTCTAATTTGGGATTCCAGGGACAGATCTTCCCTACTCTGGGGTCAAGAAGGATAGCAGAGATGGCTTGTGGGAAGGGGTCATTTGTTAACTCTGCATTTGCCTAAGAGACAGAACCTCCCTGCATCTCTGAGAAAGACACTTATTCTCCAGGGCAACCCTTCTCAGCTGTCTTTGAGTGATGGACCAGGCCACTTACTTGCCTGACTGTGACAGGGACTTGGGTTAACCTCAGGCCAGCATCGCCACCAACTTATATCTCATAGGGGGCCTATCGGTCAGTGGGGCAGCAGCAGAGGACACCAGCTCTGACATCTTTGATGGGAAAAACTGGAGATGTAAAGCGCAATGGAAGACAATCACCCATGTAGCAATCCTGCCTGTGGCTGGCCCGGCTCATGTGCAAGTGTTTGATGCCTGGGTAGCCAATGTGAAGGTTCCGGAAGTGGCTGGGGAGAAGGTCATGGAACTGAATTCCATATTCATTAGGATTCCTGAAACCCAGAAGAAGAATGTTTTAAAAAGCCCTGTTTTCTCTGCAGATGAGCGGCATGTTTGAAAGCTGGCTGTACAAACTCGTGTCAGCCCTGCAGACAAGAGAGAAAGGAGCCAACGTCGTGGTGGTGGACTGGCTTCCGCTGGCTCACCAGCTTTACACAGATGCAGTCAATAATACAAGGGAGGTGGGACACAGCGTTGCCAGGATGCTCAACTGGCTGCAGGTAACGGGACCAAAGGGAGTCATCTCCTTTTACGAGCAGGACCCTGAACCCTTTTAAGAAATATAGGTCAGGGGCTTCCCTGGTGGCACAGTGGTTAAGAATCTGCCTGCCAATTAAAGGGACACAGATTTGAGCTCTGGTCCGGGAAGATCTCACATGCCATGGAGCAGTTAAGCCCGTGAGACACAACTACTGAAGCTCATGCACCTAGAGCCTGTGCTCCGCCACAAGAGAAGCCACCACGATGAGAAGCCCGCACACTGCAACGAAGAGTAGTCAGTCCCCTCTCGCCGCAACTAGAGAAAGCCTGCACGTGGCAGCAAAGACCCAACGAAGCGAAAAATAAATAAAAATAAAATAAATTTATTAAAAAAATTCTAAGACTGTAAAAACAATACAGGTCAGACAGGTCAGTTTCAGTGAACTTCAGGAGTCTGAGAATACCTTTGAGCTTCCAATTTTTGCGGAATTGAGTATTGCTTGAAATATTTGGAAGCTGGGACTTTTAGAAAGCTTTCTAATTATTGACACATTTCTGGAGTTTTCCTTTTACTTTACTTGCGGGAAGAAAATTTGCCATTTGGTTCATTAATTGCTGATGCCCTCAGAAGCCAGGATCAGCTTGTAATCTTAAATACCTACTGAAGTCTGCTCTGGCCTCTGAAGGGTGGCTGGGCTGAGGGTACGGAGGGTTGGTTCAAACCAATGTAGCTTAGTGCCTTGCATAAAATGTGGAAAACAGATCTTGAGGTCTTAAATTTACTTTTTATAGTTTAACGATTTACCTGAGATCAGTGGACTTAATGGGAGGCAGGGGTACACTGGCTGGTACACTGGCTAAGTGACCCTATTATCTGGGTAATTACAGCCTGAGCTTCCTTTTAGAAGCCCATGGAATCTGAATAATTTTGGCAGAATTCTGGTCAGGAGTCTTGAACAGTCCTCAGTCCTCTACCAGGGTTGTTTTTTGTTTTTGTTTTTTTTTTGCGGTACGCGGGCCTCTCACCGCTGTGGCCTCTCCCGTGGCGGAGCACAGGCTCCGGACGCGCAGGCTCAGCGGCCATGGCTCACGGGCCCAGCCACTCCGCGGCATGTGGGATCTTCCCGGACCGGGGCACGAACCCGCGTGCCCTGCATCGGCAGGCAGACTCTCAACCACTGCGCCACCAGGGAAGCCCTACCTGGGTTGTTTTGTCGAGCTTGATTCCTGAGCCATGGGGTCAAATCGCCACCTCCTCACCCCCACTACTGAGTGCCCTGTCAGGGTCTGATGCTTCCACTCTGGGTTCCCAGGCAGGTTTGGGATGAGGAGGTCGGCAGCTCGTGGGCCTAAGAGGGTGGGCAGGGATCACCCTGCTGCAGGCTGTGGCTGGCACTTAGTCTCCAGTGAGCCCTGTGGCTTTGAGCTCCACACTGCCACCCCCCTCCCCCCTCCTGCGTCTCCCCAACGTGACTTGTTGAATTGTTGCTGGCCTTGGGGCTCAGGACCACACTCTTCACTCACACACCTCTGTGACTTCCTGCAGGGGAAGGAGGATTTTTCTCTCGGGGATGTTCACTTGATTGGCTACAGCCTTGGAGCTCACGTGGCCGGGTACGCCGGCAACTTCGTGAAAGGCACGGTGGGCAGAATCACGGGTAAGTGCTGCTCCCTTCACTCATGGCTGATCCTGGAGCTCCCTCAGCTGCTCTGCCCACCAGGCTTTCCTGAACCAGAGTGCTCCCTAAGAGGCAGCAGGAGTGAGCCGTGGAGGGTTAGCCTTGGAAGAAACCTGGAGAACATCTAATCCAGGGCTTTTCGAATGTCCAAAAGTCTCAGAGCCCTTTTTCAGATTGAACATGTGCAGGTCCCCAATGTATGAAACAGATAGAAGGTGTGTTCTGCTCAAAGCTGGGTATTTGCAAGTAGTGTTCACCTTGTTATTTGAGCCTCCCTCTTTTCTGGAGGAATTTCCGGGTCCCAGAGCACCAGGGAGCATAGTTTGAAAACCAGGTGTAGTGCAACAGGTGAGGAAACACCCAGGGGCAAAGAGCTAAGACTCAAGGGCAGACCTGGGGTGGAGCCCGGGCCTGCAAGCCTCTGGTGCTCACTTCTAGTCTCTGCCCATGGTAATGCCAGGACCTCAAGGGAAAGGAATGAGAGATGGGTTGTGGTTTGAATTCTGCCTCTGGTTTCTATTTCATCCACTAACAGCCTCTTTCCCATGTTTAGTTGGCATATTTATTAGTGATAATTGCCTGTTTAGAATGAGTGGTTAAATGTTGTCATTAAAGAGACCTTTCTGTCTGATATTGGTACCCAAGTAGTGGATAGAAATTTGAATTTTCCATCTTAGTGAGCTTTTTTTTTTTTTTAAGTGAAAGCGAGCTTATTTGGAAAGAGATACATTCCATAGGCAGAATTGGTGACCTTTTTTTAAAAAAATTTTATTGAAGTGTAGTTGATTTACAGTGTTTTGTTAATTTCTGCTATACAGCAAAGTGATTTAGTTATACATATATATATTCTTTTCTTATTCTTTTCCATTGTGGTTTATCACGGGATATTGAATATAGTTCACTGTGCTATACGGTAGGACCTTGTTGTTTATCCATCCTATATATAATAGTTTGCAATTGCTAATCCCAAACTCCCAATCCTTCCCTCCCTCCCTTCCCCTTGGCAAATAATTGGTGACCTTTTGATATGAGAGTTTGATTTAAATCATTGAATGGTTGTGAAAAGTGGAAAGGATTCTCTTCCCCATTTGGGGGCCCTCTCAAAAAACATACTCTCCTCTAGGAGAAAATTAATGGCAATTTTTTTTTAAGATTATATATTTATTTTTTAATTAATTAATTAATTAATTAATTTTTGGCCACCTTGGGTCTTCGTTGCTGCACGCGGGCTTTCTCTAGTTGCGGCGAGTGAGGGCTACTCTTCGTTGCGGTGCACGGGCTTCTTATTGCGGTGGCTTCTCTCGTTCCGGAGCATGGGCTCTAGGTGCGCGGGCTTCAGTAGTTGCAGCATGTGAGCTCAGTAGTTGTGGTGCATGGGCTTGGTTGCTCTGCGGCACGTGGAATCTCCCCGGACCGGGGCTCAAGCCTGTGCCCCCTGCATTGGCAGGTGGATTCTTAACCACTGTGCCACCAGGGAAGTCCTTAATGGCAAATTTGTTGTCCTGAATTTTTATCCCCCTGCTAGCATTCTTTTATTTGTTTTCCCTCCCAGCTTCTCCCTCACCTCCAACATACTAAGGGCCTAACCGGCCACCCAGAAGGAAAGAGTTAATCATTTCCTTCCTGGCAATGTTTTCGTTTGAAAACAGGGTTCAGGTAGAAGGGAGTCCTTAGCTAGAGAATGATTTAGTAAAGGTAGAGTTTCTGGTTTCAGCAACAAGCCAGTGGGGCAAATTTAAAAATATATACATTTGTGAGGTTTAGTAGCCCTGCTTAAATCACTGTCCCTGGGCTTAAGTCTAATGAGCACACACACACACACACACACACACACACACACACACACACACACACACACACACACACTCCTTTAGATCCAACTGTTTGATTCAGCATAGCTTGAGAGCTTTACTTTTGGTTATCAAGATGCGGGGCCTGAACTGTCTAACGGGCAATGTGGCCACACATGACTGCTCATTAACCCATCGCTGGAGCAAAGCCGTTGGGCCTCAAGCCCCTCAGCGTTCTATTGGCTGAGCACCTCCTCCTAGCCCCCAGCAAGAGGCAAGATGTTGCAGAGCTCGGCCAGCTGTGCTCAAACTGCAGCACACACAAGGCCCCTGCCAGAGCACCAGGGCCAGTGTCCTTGGCAACAAAGACAAGCTGCAGATCCTCCCTCTTCTTCTTTCTAAATCTGAAATGAGATGGGGCTAGTAGGAGAGTTCCAGTTCTTTCCCCCTGCCTGTCTGGGTGGGAGCTGCTGAGATGCGGGCTTTGCCGGCAGAATGCTAATCAGTGCTCTGCGCTGTCTGCGTAGAGCATTGGGGCCGGCATGTCCTGAGCACTGCCCCTTCTCTGCGGCCTCTCTCTGTGGAGCAGGGGACTGGGGTGAACATAACAGGAAGGAGTGGCCTCTGTCCAGTTGCCAGGCAGCACCTCAGAGGGTATCTGGCTGACCTGATGCATGCTGCTGTGCATGTCTGATGGGAGAGGCCTGTGCCCTCTCCTCTCCCCTCAGACTTCCCATGGGTCTGGGAACCAGGTGGTCCTGACTGGTAAGAGGACCAGAGACTGCAGCTTGTGTGGGGCAGAGGCCAGTGATGCCGCTGTACAGAGGCCAGCAGGGGTCCTTAGCCTGGACCTGCAGGAGGTACCTGAACCCCAGTCTTGCTTGGACCAGAGAGCTGTGGACTGAGGTTTGCTAAAGTTTTATCCTCTTAGGCTTCTGAGGGAATTCTGTGACATATTAGGGAAGAGGTCATATATTTCTAATTGAACTTGTGTGTTGTTAGTTATAAATAAATAAGCAAGCAGATCTGTTCATTCATTCAAGAGATATGAACTAAGTGTCCACCCTGCAGGCTGTGGGCTAGATGCTACCTAATGTCAAGCACTCAATGTGTGACAGGTATTTTATGCCATATGTAAGCCACATAGCATCCAGGCAAAAGGGTCCTTGGGCTTTATTTTACAGATGGGGAAAATAGGACTCAGTATGTACTTTAATGATATCTCACACCCTGAGTAGCAGAGCTGGGATTCAAACCCAGGCCATCAGATTCCAGAGCCTGCACCTCACCACTGCACAATGCTGCTGCTCTCCTGCTGGGAGAGATGCAGTAGCTGTTACAGCGCAGCAGCCTCTGCCCTGCCAGGCCAGAAGGTGGAGGTTTTCCTGTGTGTATGCGTGTGCACGACAGGGTGTGTGTGCGTGTGCATGCATGTGTATATTCCATTTGCTGGACAGAACACTTTGAGGGGAGTCTGACGGAATGGAAGAAGAGGTGGTTCTCCATCATCTCTTTTTTTTTGGAGGGGATGCGTTCACCCTCCCATTCCTAGTTAAGAAGTAAATTGTGAAACTTTTCCCCAGAGTCGGTGGGCCCTAGCTACGTGTCAGGCGGGGTCAGTCTGGGGAGGTGAAAGCTCAGCCTGCCTGCCAGCCGGCCTTTGCAGAAGCCCCGTCAGCCGCCTGCATTCCTCCAGCCCAGCTTGGTTTCCATGGCACTGACTGTCTGGTGGAGACTTTTGTTCACCGATACAAGAGCCCCTCTCTTATTGGCTGCAAAGCAGAATGTTCCTCTTCTTTCTTTTTTTTTTCCTCCAGAGGACATGGTGAGAGGCAGGGAGAGGCCACCTGTGTCAGTACTGCGTCCGTCCAGTCCCTAAAAAGAGTCATCGAGGGCTATTCCGGGAGGCCACTGTTTTTGTGCCATCTTTCTTTTGGGTCCTGGGCTAGAGATGAGCTCCCAGGCAGCCTGGGCTCCCTTTCTGCCTCTGTCATTCATACATTTTTCTCAACTTCAGAGTGTTAGTCATTACCAGTTCTCATGAGTAGCGAGTTCCACAGGTTTACTGTTCACTCTGGACAACAGTTCTACCTTTTGTTTATCCTAAAATGACCCCCCTCAAGCCTCACGACGTGCTCCCTTGTTCCACTGCACTGGGGTCTGGGAAACACTGTTCTATTCCTCATCTCCTGCTTTCACAGCTCTGTCCTTGGTCATACCTCCTCCCTACCTTGGTGTTTCTAGATCCAGGTTTCTCAACCTCAGTAACTATTCATATTTGGGGCCAGATAATGCTTGTGTGGGAGCTGACCTGTGCATTGCAGGATGTTTATCAGCATCCCTGGCCTCTACTCCCTAGATGCTAGCAGCTTCTTTTTTCCCTCTTCCCCAATTGTGACAACCAAAAATGCCTCCAGAGGTTGCCAAGTGTCCCCTTGGGAGCAAAATCCCTCCTAGTTGAGAACCACTGTTCTAGACTAAACAAACCCCCTTCCTCTGCTGCACATAATCTTTTCTTAACTTTCTCTAGGTCCTCTCTCTGTGTCTGTAGGGCTCTAGGTTGGGATGAATCCAGCTCCCATAATTACTTAAGCTTGGTAATAGTAGCTAGTATTACCTTGACAAGCCCTTACTCCTTAATATTGCACAAGAACTGTATGAATCAAGACATTCAGATTTCATTTTCGAAATGCTACTGAAGCATGAAGTTTTTCCAAAATCTGGTCCACAGACCACTTATTTTTAGGATCAGCTGGGGAATAAACCTCTGTTTCTGGGCTCTACACCAGACCTACCAATCAGAATCTCTTGGGGGTCAGGGGATCTGCATTTTATGCTTTGCAAATTCTATTTTGAATGGTTTTACACTCATGTGGTTCCCAAACTATTATACAAGATGGTGAAAGTGTCTCTGTTGTTGCTACTATCTTTGCAGTTGCCTTCCCTGCCTTCTCCCCCGACACACATACACACAGGTGACCTGGGGCTTGTGCGTCCTCCCAGAGTTTTTCATAGCTACATGGTGGAATCCAAATTTGTAAGAAGCTCCCCAGAGATATTTGTGCTGTTTCAAATGTGAGAACCAGTGCTCTCTGCAGTGCTGTTTGTTTGTTTGATACAGAAAGTTTGCAGACAAAAGGTTTTCTCCCTGTGGCTGCAAAAGAGAGGAATTCTGGAGGCTTGAGATACGGCTGCTCAGTGTGCCTGGTGTACCTGCCTCTTGCCATTCCACTCCTGGGCCTGATTCATAATGAAAGGAAGGGGAAGTGTAAGTCCACATACAGATAGCTCAGTTTGGGGAGACCGAGTCTTCCCTCTTGAAGATGTAGGTAGCTTAGTTATTCTGTCAAAATTCTGCTAAAATTGAGACTGTGGAAGGCTCCCAGTGGCAGAATAAATGGAATGAATGGCTTAGTTTCAGCCAGCCCAAGTTCTTTCTAGAACCGCTTCAGTTCTTCTTTTTTTTCTTTTTAATTAATTAATTTAATTTATTTATTTTTGGCTGCATTGGGTCTTCGCGCAGGCATTCTCTAGTTTTGTGAGCGGGGGCTACTCTTCGTTGTGGTGCACAGGCTTCTCATTGCGGTGGCTTCTCTTGTTTCGGAGCACGGGCTCTAGGCGTGCAGGCTTCGGTAGCTGTGGCACACGGGCTCAGTAGTTGTGGCACACAGGCTCTAGAGCACAGGCTCAGTAGTTGTGGCGCACGGGCTTTGTTGCTCCGCGGCATGTGGGATCTTCTCAGCCCAGGGATCGAACCTGTGTTCCTTGCACTCGCAGGCGGATTCTTAACCACTGTGCCACCAGCGAAGCCTCTAGAACTGCTTTAGTTCTGACAGTGCACGGTTCCTCAGATCCACGTGTCACTTGAACCCCGTGGCCAATTTACTGAGTCAGCTGAGTTGTCAGGACAGGTGAAGGCTTCAGAAGAAAGCATATGTTCCTCTGCAGCAGGCACCACACCCTTTAGGATTCCCAGGGTGGGGATGTCTTCATTTTACACTCGCCGACTTAGCTATCCATCAGAACTCACTGCCTTAGCGCACCTGACACAGCTGGTCTTGGCTCCCCCTTCTGCTGTAGGTTTGGATCCTGCTGGGCCCATGTTTGAAGGGGTTGACATCGACAAGAGGCTGTCCCCTGACGATGCAGACTTCGTGGATGTCCTGCACACCTACACACGCTCCTTTGGCTTGAGCATCGGGATTCAGAGGCCTGTGGGTCACATTGACATCTACCCCAATGGAGGTGACTTCCAGCCAGGCTGTGGACTCAACGATGTCTTGGGGTCAATTGCATATGGAAGTGAGTCCTTATTATTATTATTTATTTTGCGGTACGCGGGCCTCTCACTGCTGTGGCCTCTCCCGTTGCGGAGTACAGGCTCCGGACGCGCAGGCTCAGCGGCCATGGCTCACGGGCCCAGCCGCTCCGTGGCATGTGGGATCTTCCCGGACCGGGGCACGAACCCGCATCCCCTGCATTGGCAGGCGGACCCTCAACCACTGCGCCACCAGGGAAGCCCCGAGTTCCTTATTTTTTGTTTGGACTCAATTATAGCATCTCCTCCTAAATCAGCCAGAGCTGTTCATGCTCCCGACAGCATCCGTTCCATTATTCCCACTACCCCCCAGTGGCCCTTCAACACTGTTTATTCTACAGTTCATCATCCTGCAAGCCTATTAACAGCCTTCCCGTGGTCTCTGCTCTGCTTTCTTGTGCTTTGAGGTCACAGTTATTATTGATTAATTTCTTTTTATAACAAAAGGAATACATATTTGTTGGGAAAATAATCAAGCATTATAAAATTGCCTAAAGCAAAAAGTAAAAATACCCCCTCATTTCCCACACCTACTCCTACTTTCACTCTCCAGATGTAGCCAATATGAACATGGTGGTGTGTATCCTTCCACTCTTATTGCTTTGCAAATTTATTTGTGCGTGTGTGTGTGATATTTTTCAAAATCACATTGTTCTGCAACTTTGCTTTTTCAGTCCTAATATATATTACGGACATTCTTAGACATCAGAGTACATATATCTACCTACCTTATTCTTTTAAAAGGCTGTATAATATTCTTTAGCATGGATGTACTATAATTTAATTTTTGGTAACATTTTAAAGAAATAAAATCAAGATTCTTCCTCCATTCACTTATAATCTGTCTTCCTGAATGCCTAAGCCTATTCCCAGCAGTCCTGGGCTGAAGTGAGTTTGCTGCTGAAACTGATGTGCTTGGTGTCTCATTTGCTCACCGCCTTGCATCCTGGCAGCATTTCTAAGTCTTGGCCCCAGTTGGCTCTCTCCACTGTGATGCTCTGCTCTTGGGATGTCCACTCTGTCACTCAGTCTTAAGTTGCCCTCTGCCAAGGTGATAACATCCAAGGAGCCCCTGTGGGGCTTGGGGGTTCATGCAAGGGGAGTTCAGCCCTGCAGGGGGGATCAGATGATGGCATTTCTTAAGGCTGGTGATATTAATGAGGAAGGGGAAGGGAAGCTTTGCCAAATTTTTCTTAAGGTCCAAGGATTTACTGGAACTTGGTTACAAGAAATAATGATTACTGTGGGTCACAAAAATCCAAATTATACTCCTAGCTTTGCAACCAACTGAATCTGTGACCCTGAGCAAATGACTTCATCTCTAAGGGCATTTGGGCCCATAATCTACAACTGAAAGTATTGGACTAGAATGAGGTTGGCAAACATTTTCTTTCCTTTTTCTTTGTAAGTTTTTTTTTTTTTTTATAAACTTATTTATTTTGTTTATTTATTTTTGGCTGCTTTGGGTCTCCATTGCTGCTCTTGTGAGCTTTCTCTAGTTGCAGCACGCAGGCTCCGTAGTTGTGGCGCTCTGGCTCTAGAGCGCAGGCTCAGTAGCTGTGGCGCATGGGCTCTGTTGCTCCGTGACATGTGGGATCTTCGGGGACCAGGGATCGAACCTGTGTCCCCTGCATTTGCAGGTAGATTCTCAACCACCACGGAAGCCTGGCAAACATTTTCTTAAAGAGTCAGCTAGTAAATATTTCCGGCTTTGCAAGCCATATAGTCTCTGTTTCAACAACTCCACTCTGCTACCGTAGCATGGAGGCAGCCAGAGACAATAGATAAATGAATGCATGTGGCTATGTTCCAATAAAACTTTACTAAAATGGGGCCAGCCTGCAAGGTGCAGTTTGCTGAGCCCCGGACTAGATGATGTTTAGCATCTGATCCATTTCCAGCATTTTGTGACCGCATGACTCTATCAGGACTTAGTGACTCTTACTGCACAACTGGTCTCCATCACCCTGTTGTGCCTGTCCTATGCACTCTCTTGCTCTTTATTGCTTCATGTGTATCAGTGCTGTCTTCCCACCCGGAGGGCAAGCAGTCCGGTGGCAGGACTGGCTTTCAGTTCTAAAGACAGCATATCACTGGGCATGCATTAAGAATGACACAGACGGGCTTCCCTGGTGGCGCGGTGGTTGAGAGTCCGCCTGCCGATGCAGGGGACACGGGTTTGTGCCCCAGTCCGGGAAGATCCCACATGCCGCGGATCGGCTGGGCCCGTGAGCCATGGCCGCTGAGCCTGCGCATCCGGAGCCTGTGCTCCGCAATGGGAGAGGCCACAACAGTGAGAGGCCTGCATACCGCAAAAAAAAAAAAAAAAAAAAAAAAAGAATGACACAAACAAGCATACCAACAGCGACATGCAAAGCAGTTATTTCTGATGAAGTGTACAGTACTTACTGATGGAGTGGCCGGATCACCGAGAAGCAGCTCAGCCTGATGGTCTCCTTCTCTCTCTCCCCCAGCAATTGCGGAGGTGGTGAGATGCGAGCACGAGCGGGCAGTACACCTCTTTGTCGACTCCCTGGTGAATCAGGACAAACCAAGCTTCGCATTCCAGTGCACGGACTCCAACCGCTTCAAAAAGGGGATCTGCCTCAGTTGCCGGAAGAACCGTTGTAATAGCATTGGCTATAATGCCAAGAAAATGAGGAACAAGAGGAATAGCAAAATGTACCTAAAAACCCGGGCAGGCATGCCTTTCAGAGGTAACCTTCATCCAAACCTGCATTGCCCTGGGGAAGGACCTTTTTCCTCCTTCTAAATACCACATTGTAGACGGGCACATTCCTGCAGTTAAATCAAATAACTGCAAATCACATTAAATTGTGTATGCCTAGGAAAGTAAATCTTTAAAAATAAATGATGGGGACTCCTTTTGTGATGTGAATCATCACTCTATGATCACAGTATCGCTGTCTTAAGTTTCTATCTTGCATTTAGCTTTTCAAAACTGTTTCATATTTGTTTCCTCATTTGATCATCAAAATAATCTGTGATAGGACTAACAGTGGATCAAAATGATATCTCACATTTTTATAGCATGTTATAAAACCGTAAGGTTTTGTGGGTATTGTGGGTGGAAGTTGAGGCTCAAGAAATTAATACCTTGGTCCTTAATTCAAGGTCACACAGCTAGAAAGTATCTAGGTCAGCATCCCCCAAAGGTCCCCCGAACCCCAAGTTCAGGGCTCCTTCTTCTATACTGCAGTGACCTCTTAGGCCATTGGACAGAATGAGATCAAAGGGAGGCTAGAGGCTGGGCTGGACCAAAAGGATGAGAGTCCCTAAAAACTCACTGTGCTGGGTGACTCAGTTTGGGTCAGGGTGCCCTAAGATGACAAGCAAGGCTCACAAATGTCTTTGTTCTGCTGTCTCTGCAGTTTACCATTATCAGATGAAAATCCATGTCTTCAGCTACAAGAATATGGGAGAAATCGAGCCCACCTTTTATGTCACCATTTACGGCACCAATGCAGACTCCCAGGTTCTGCCTTTGGAAATGTAAGTCACGGGTTTCCTTTGCTGAGTTCAGGACGGAGAACGAGTTGGTTTGAAAAGGAGAGAGAGCACAGGAGCTCGTCTGCGTGCCAGGGAGGAGCGGTGTGGTTCCTCTCCTGCTTCACACTCTCCACCTAGCCCTTGACTCAGAACGTTTCTGGAAGGGCAGCTCCTGGGATGAATCAGCAGCGTGAGAATCTGCTGGATCAGCTGGGCAGAAACTGCTGTTTCATTTCAGAGAACGCCTGATTCCTGAGGCTTTAGGAAATTTGGAACTTGATAAACATCATCCCTGGCATGTTTCTAATTATCTGTGGGAGGGGCACACAGTGATCTGTATACGTTGAGCACTTGTAAGGTGCAAAGCGCCACGCTGAGTAATGCTGGGCTTGCAAAGTAACGTCATTAGAATACACACTCTCAGGGCTGGGGGTCTAGCGGGAGGAACAGGCTTGTACACACACACTCATGCACACAGATGGGGTGAGACAGGCTCCTCCAAGTGCTACGTGAGAGGGACAGGCAGGAGGGGCTGCGAGTTCCGAGGGAGATGGATGCCTGTGGGCTGAGAGGAGGAGGCGCTGTCGAGTGGGGATGTGACTTCTTTGCGCTTTCTCATTTCTGTTCTTTCCTGGTCTTGTCCCCCCAGGAGGTAGCATGAATGGGGAGATGCTCAGGAATGGTTTGGGGTGCCGTGGGCAACATTATCTCTCTGCCTGTGTGGAGCACAGCTGAGTTTTCATCCCGGTCCTGCTGGTGGGACGTGGAGGACGTAGGGGGGACCTCTTGTGCATTTCTCTCCCATCCGAGTGGGGCAGGTGCTGCCACTGCGTCAACCCCCACGGTGCTGCAGTTTTCCAGGTGGCAGGGGGACTGAGACCAGCTTTCCTCTCCCCTTGCAGAGTGGAGCAGATCGGGCTGAATGCCACCAACACCTTCCTGGTCTACACCGAGGAGGACTTGGGAGACCTCCTGAAGATCAAACTCACCTGGGAGAGGACTTCTCAGTCCTGGTACAACCTGTGGAAAGAGCTTCGCAGCTACCTGTCTCAGCCCCGCAGGTCCGAGCAAGAGTTGAATATCAGACGCATCCGCGTCAAGTCCGGGGAAACCCAGAGGAAGTAAGTGCCTCACGACCCTTTCCCTGTTCCGTGTCCGTGGTCAGCAGAAGGTGTGTGTCTCTGCAGCGTCCTTTCCTTTGCTAAGCGTACACCTTCCATCTTTCCGTATCCAGAGTACGTGGGCAAAACTGCAAACCCTTTGCGAGGAAAACTGAATTCCAGATCAAGGCCTCTGTCAACTGTTGTGCAGCTTGTACCCTGATCGCAGGCCCTGGGCTGAGAGGGGTGGGCAAGCGGGGGTTGGAATCCAGCCCTTGTTCCATTTGCCAAGTCCTGTGCTGGCCCGGAGGAAGAGGGCTTCTCCTGGACAGGGCTCTTTAGGAGTGCTGCCTTGTTAGTTTGTTTGCTCTGGGGTCCGTGCAACCAAAAGCCTTTGCTTGCTCCAGTCCAGAGCAAACCAGACTATCCAGTTTAGGGAGCCTGCATGGATGAGGTCTGTGGGAGTCCTGGCTTCCCTTGCATCCAATTTTCAGAGCATTATACCTCTCCTTGGGAGGCTCTGACTCAAGGACATGCGTGGGGCGCTAACATCAAGTAACAGATTCCTCTGTGCCACGCCAGCTGGCAGTTTCCCCACGTCTGTTAACCAAGCCTAACACAAAAAATCCACCCCTAAATCAGCCACTAAAACGCGGCTTGACTCTCGGAGCAGCCAGGAAGACCTTTGTCAAGAGAGGAGGGTTTCCTTGGCCAAATCCTTCAGCAGACCTCCGGGAGGTCACTACCAGCCTTGGGATGGTGGGAAGAAGCCTCCACCTCCTTTCTATCTCTTCTGGCATTTTCTCCATTACAGTTCTTCATGCGTCCCGTTTCCATCCACCACCTATGGTGCAGCTTGGCCATGCAGGGGGTGGAGGCTTAGGTTGCTTGTCTGAGTGATTCTGGTCTAAAGACCTGTGCGCTGGTGTGTATGTGGCAGGGGTGGGTGCCAGCTGAGGGAAGCTGTTAGTATGAAGGCTGTGATCTAGATAACTGCGTGTCTTTTTCCTTCTCTCGGTGCTTATAAGTGCAGCCTGTACCAGAAAGATGTGTGGTAGCAGAAAGATGATCATTTTTATAAAATATTTCAGATTTAATAAACCACTGAGACTTAACAAATGTAAACCATTTTCATATTGGTTTCAGATATAAGATTTTAAACAGCAAAACATTACAGATAAAGCTGAAGCCCCTTTGTGCCCCTCCCCTGTCTGACTCCTCCCCTTTCAAACCAAATGTACTGATCTTCCAACATTAACTAATGTTAGTGTGTTTTCCTCTTCATGATTTTTATACTTTCACTACTTCTGTTTGTATCCATAAACAACCTATAGAAATGTTTTGGTTGCTTCTGAAGTTTACGTGAGTGGACATATTCCTTTAAAAGTTGCTTTTCTCCATTTAACATAGTTCATGAGATTTATCCAATGCATACAGATCTGGTCTATTCACATTCAACTCCTGTATGTAAACTGCCATTGCACAAACAGTAGTTTCCCCACTGTCCTGCTGAATATTTAAGTTGTTGCTACATTTTTGCAGTTACAAATAGTGCTGAGATGAACATCCTGGGACGTTTTCCTTGGGTACGTGTGTGAGGGCCTCTTTGGGGCATGCTGAATCACTGGGTTATAGTATATGTGTTCTCCAACTGGATTGGATATTATTAAATCCCTCTCCAAAGTGGTTGGACCAATTTTTAATCTTATCCACGGAGTAAGAGCTTCCTTTTCCCCTCCTCCTCACCTACCTTTGGTGGACATTCTTGCTATTCCGTTGAGTGTGAATTGGTCCCCGACTGTTGTTTTCATTTGTATTTCCTGATTGTGAGTGTTGCGGGTGTTTATGGGCCGTTTGGGCTTCCTGGCGAAGGTTCTGAAAGCTGTTCAGACTGTGGCTTTTGTCCTGCTGGTAAGCATCACGGTCAGGTGTACCATATGTGCATTGGTCATGAGGTCATGCTGTCCACACACTACTGAGGCTGGGGCAGCCCACATGGTTGGGCTGTAAGTTACAGTTGAAACGATGATTAGATCACTGATTCTTCCTGTGATCTTGGTTGTCTACTTCTTGAATCTTTGATATTAACTCACAGCTGAGTTCCAGTTACGCTTGTCAATGGGTATTTCTGGACACCATGCTGGAGGGACCTGGAGTTCCTCCGTTCAAGGAGTTTATAGTCTACCACGGATGCAAGAATCCACAAGCTATTCAAGGCAAGATATAATGTGTTAAAATGAGCTAAAGCTTTCATTATTAACTCCGTGCCATAAGAAGTAATGACAATAACAAAAGCAACATTTATATAAGGGTGTGCCTATTTATGAAACTGGAAGGTCAATGGAGGGTTAGATTAATAAGGTCTCGGGCAATCAGGGAGGCTTCAGAGAGGATATGCCTTGGTGGGCAGGCAGGCTTTTGCATAGACAGAAGGAAGACGGTGGAAGGGGTGTGATTAAAGTCTGCATGAACTGAATCATGGGAGACACCAAAGTGAGACCCTTTTAGTGTGCTTGTAGCAGCAGTGGGGAGTTCTGAAGGGTCTTGAGTCAGGGGTCACTTGATAAAAACTTCTCTTTTCTCCTTATTCCATCTGCCTCAGGTCCAGAAAGCACCATGTGGCTGATGCACAGCCATGTACCTACCCCTAGAGTTTTGACTACATCAGTGGTTTCTTTTTCCTCCTAGATTGACTTTTTGTGCAGAAGATCTTGAGAACACCCACATATCCCCTGGCCAAGAGCTTTGGTTTCACAAGTGTCGGGATGGCTGGAGAATGAAAAATGAAACCAGGTAAGCAGGGCATTCTCAGAGGTTCATGCAATGCATGTTGATGGGTCCCCTAGTGTAGGCTGGACATGTGTCTGGCACTTGGGACATAGAAGTCAACAAAAACTGATAAAAGTCCCTTCCTTTATGAAGGTGACTTTCTGCTGGAAGGAGACAGACAAATCAGCGTGATAGGATGTTGGATGGTGTGAATGTCCCTTTGCCTCTTGCTCTGCTTCATCCTGTAGGTGTCACAGCCATGGTCCTGCTGGAATGAGGTCTTTCAGTGACTAAGTCCCAAGCTTGGTACCCATGTCCTCATCTTAGATGGAGCTTCTCTGTAGTGACTGGGGCTGTGGGAAGTTCCAGGGCTCCCAGCTTCTTTCTGGGCACCAGGTTGCAGTGGGGAGTTGGGTGGGAGGTAAGGGAGAAGCACAAGGCATAGCCCCCCTTTAAGGTTTTCTGGAACCCAGGTTGGTGTGAGTGGATATTAGTGGGCAACTCTCCCCCTTTTTGAGAAGCAGGAA